CTAAGAAAAGGTTAAGAAAGATAATAACGATTATAATGCTAAGTGTTCTTGGAATAAAATCAGTCGATCGAATTTTTATTCGTATCTTTAAATTTATATCGTAATATTTGCTTTTGTTAAGCTTATAACGTAAACATCATCATCCTTTTTCGATTCACTGCTGAATATAAGCTTCTTTAAGACTTGACCGTAGACTTGTTTACTATCAGTTTCATCCATTTTGATCCAGCTAACTTCTTCTGCTCATCCTGCCATTGGTCCGGAAGTCTCGTTAAACTTTAAACACTGTGGGAAAAGTTCGATGCAGCTTTTCAACTACCAGTGTTACTATTTTCTGTACACATTACAATATTTGGCACGTTGGTTTGTTCAAATTGGCAAATCAAGAGCTTTTTTCGCTGCTGAAGAAAGAAGAAGCGGGCCAAAGTCGTAACGACAAATGCTAATAACAAACCATACGGCTTGAAGTAATTTTTCATTCTTGTCTTCAGCCAAAAACGTGTAGCTTTTCAAAAAATGTACGAACATTTCGATGATAAAATTTTGCCAACAACCAACGTAATTTGATCATTAATGAAATTATCATGAGGATCTAATTACAATTTACCTGATTTTTGACATCCACTTGAAGTGAGATCATCGGCTGTTGCAGTCTGTTGCGAAACTCTATGTCGATGTTGCTCCACTGTGAGGGCAAGATGCAAATTATTGCCGCCGTTGTGTACTGAACCTGGTAATTGAACACTTTTTGTTCGTTTTCCTGAAAATATGCAAATAACAAAGAAAGGCATCGATCACTTTTTGGATTTATGCGTTATGCATATAGTCAATCATATACTGGACAGTCAGCTATGAGGTCGTCAATTCTAACTACGACCGTAATGGAGGCTTGAGAGGAACGCATAGCCGTGTCAACCGTGCTTTTGTTGTAACTGCAGCAATACGCAATGTCAATCATAATCGTGTTCTAAAGTCAGCAACATTCTTTCAGATTCATGGCTGGATTTATGTATGAATAACTGGCTCACGGGAATTACTTCCTACCTCAGAAAAAGGAACTATTTCATACCTCTTGGAAGCCGACTTTACGTGCGTGACATGCAATTATATTCTCTGACACGGCGCCTTTGAGGGGTATTTCATTTCTATCTCCAGCACCCAACTGAATACTAATAACGTGATATAACTACTAAATAAACTATCAAGTAGATTAAAGGTTACTGTAATTACAATCTGCT